TTATTTGTCAAAGTGCACAAACATTGCAAAAGAAAGTGGAACCTGTGGAAGGCAAATTTATGGCACAATTACTTCAACACCCCATGGGCGTTGATTTCCTTCCTTGCTGCGGTTTTCTTGCTTCTACTTACTGCGATGCAAAGTACATATTCAGCTGTCACTTACCATTAGCCGCAGGATGGGATAGCTCCTCTCTAGATAATAGAGGCAGGAATATGGTGGGGGAATCAAGAGTGAAAGTCGTGTTCCATTTATCTATATAGTTATATGTTATTTTTCTGTAGCAATGTTTTGCAATAAATGAAAGTAGAAGTTCAGACAATTGTTTACCCATTTGACTACTTCTAAAACGTAGTATATAATGTTATTATGCATGTTGTGAATGGCTCATGTGGTATTATTTCATGCCCTTGGGGACCATAAAAGTCCTTTTCTTTCCTTTGGGCCTTGGACTTTGTGTTAGGCCTCTATTGCTTCAAGTCTGGGCCTATTTCTTCCTCTTTCTGAGCAGTGACCAAAATGAAATAGTATAAATTCATAAACCACTTGACTCGAGCTTCAGCATTACGACAATGGCTGAAAAAGAATCTGAGTACGACAGTACTTCGGACTCGAACCTAGTCTCCGATCAGTCGACGCACCCTAGCACCGCCGCCGCCGCCGCCGCCGCTGCCGCCGCTGGTGGTTTTGAAATCACCTGCTTTAGCGAGCTCTTCGATGACGTTACCTTCTACTTCCAAATTATTCGTTTCCCTAAACAGGTATCGATATTTAATTAGCTGAATTTCTGACCTTTTTTATATTCAGAATTTGATCGCTTTCTAATTACGAACAGATATATGCATGGATCGGTTGCAACTCTACGAAATTCGGTGACTTGTACGCAGCTGCATCGACACGACCTATAAGATTATAACCTTCAAATTTGGGGATTAATAATTGATAATGAATAGTGGTTAAGCAGTCAATGTTTTGATGGAGGAAACAGAACAATATGGTCGGTGTGACTTCCATTCTTGGAGGTTCTTCAGATAACACTGGGTCTGGAATCGCTAGGCGATTAGGTGAATTTTTATTAATGTGTTTTATTTGGTTTCTTTTTACGTTTCTGTTTATTGTGGGCTAAATGCATTTTTTTGTTTCCATGGCAGTGTTAAAAACTGGTCTTAACATAATTATTGCTTGCAATATCCCAAAGAATAGCCCCATGCTTGAGGTTTGATATGTTCCTCTACCATTCTTTCTGTGTCTCTATCATATGTCATAATATTGCATTGAAGTTTCTTGTTGGTAGAATCTTGTCAGTTGTTTATTTTTTCTTGGTTTTGTTTACACCCAAGGACGGAGCTTGAGCAAAATGTTTGGAGGGCCAAAAAATTTTTTTATATAACCTGCAAATATAATATACCTAACATAACTTCACTAAGTAATCATTATCTACCAAAATTTATTATAAGTTACCATACATATACATTCTATGTAATGGAATCTCTAACTACTCTAATTAATAAGAAACTCTAAATTTACCCTCAAAATTAAGTAGAGTATTTTGACTAGCCTTCAATTCAAAACCCAAAAATTAAAATTATGAAATAGAGGACTTGTAAGGTGATTTATGTAAACTCTGAACTTTCAACTTGTATTTTT